TTACCCAATGTGCTATTCCATACATAACCCTATACTGTATTCTCTATGAATCAATAAAAAATTTACAATTTTTAATTATAAACCTGTGTTTTCTATCAAAATTACTTCTTGCGTGAATTTTGGGACACCCTATAGAAACAGTTCTCATGAACTACCTGCTAATAAGGGAAATGACCCCCCCAAAAATCCTAGGACACATAAAGATAGGCAACTGCACCTATCAAAATTATCAAAATCTGACAATTGTTATCCATAGGAATAACTCAATCATTCACAATTGTAAAACTGGCTTTTTAAACTTTTGGGGCATTGCTAACCTGTTTTAGAAGTTTTTGAGTATGTGTGTGTGTGTGTGTGTGTGTGTGTATGTGAATTCATAACTCACCTTTGCTGGGAAGATATTTTCTTATGTGTTCAAGCCCCCAGGTCTAGGAAATGTGAGTTTCTGTCCCCAAATCACAAGAACCCATTTTCCTATATTTAATCTTCAGACTGGCTTTTGTGCTCCATTTGTATCCAGTTCTTATAAAAGGTAGCCTCCTTTCTTGCATCCTCTCTCTCTCTGCGGGCTGGGTGCTGGGAACTGCACCCCCGTTAGCTAGAAAACCACTTGGGGGGCGGGGGCCATCTCATTTCCCAGTGGTTCCAGAAACATTATCAATTTACAATACATACGAGTGATACAGAGGGAGAGGTTTTAAAGAACCGCAGAAAGCTTTCAAAGTGATTTCTGGCTCTGCAGCTTCTCAGCCCACATCTTTATTGATAGAATTTCCCCTGGCTTTCTTGATCAGCACAGCATTAGAAATAAATGGGAGACTAGCAGGGGCATAGCCAATCTTCTATGGCAGAGTGGAGAGGGGAGGGTGGAAGGCTGATGCCTTGATATGCAGCGCCTCTGTCCAAAACATGGGTGATATCAACCCTCTTGACAAAAGCCATTACTTGCGTACACCATGGACAGAGCCAACCAGCACAGTGAAGGGAATTCATCCCCTCCCTCCCTCCCTACTCACTGCCTGTCCCCTCCAAGGCTGCTTAACTCACTCCTATCTACACTGTCCTCTCAACTGTACAGCCCGAAAACCCAATTGTGTCTCCTATTCCCGACTCTCTCCCACTCGCCCCTTCTGGGATCCCCGCTCCTGGACAACTCACCTTAACTGCAAGGCCACACTTACAACCACACCCCCAGAACTGTCACGCTCTCCTCCAGCTCCTCTGCTTCCCCTGCCACTCCCCTCCCACACGGGTGTTCTCTGTGCAGCGTCCAGAATAAGCTTGTAAAGGACATATCTGGTCACATCACTCTATTGTTTATTATCCTCCAGGCCTACTCTTTCCCTCAGAAACGCCAAACGTCTCAGTCTGCCTGCTGGCCTGGCTCCTGTTGACCACTTTTCTTGGTTTGGCTTCCTCCACAAAGAGAGTGTTAGAAAAGGCCTTCAGTGCACATGCTTTGTTTGGAAGGTGATCTCAGGAAACACCCTCGGGGAGTGGGAAGTGAGGCAGCAGGGAGAGAGCTACCTGGCAGTTATTGCTGTGGAAACTGAAGGGAGCCCCACTGGGGACTCGGAGTCAGGGTGCCACAAGCCTCCGAGGGATCCACTCCTGAAGGAAGCAGGCTGGGGCATTGATCTACCATCCTACTCTCCTCCACTCATTGAGGATGATTCCCAGGGAGTTAGCCATCCTGCACCGTAGCCTCGTGCGTTCCTATCACCACAAAAATACCACCTTTGGGCAGAGGCCTGTAGGTGTCCGCAGTAAGCAGCAACCATTGGCTCTATTCATTCAGCAAATGTTCTAGAGCACCTATCCCATGTCAGGCCTTCTGCTAGGCCCGGAAGAACATGGTCCTCGGCAGCTTCCATGGAGGCTCCTGGCTCTTTAGCGAGCTCTGCAGCGGAGTGGAGAGGGGAGGGGGGAAGGTGCATGCTGAGCCATGAGCAATTCCCTAGGGCCTGGGCACAGGCAGCTCCCACCCATGAGAAACCCATCTCATTCACTTGACTCCCACTTTCCTCTTGACTTAGGTGCCTTTCCTTTGACAAGATGGACCCAGAGCATTCACAAAATATGCATCTACCAGGTACTAATTCATATCTATAAAATTAAAAAGAATGTCTAAAAATTAATAAAATAATGAGGAATCTTATTTTAAAATAAGGTTCAACCTGACAAATAAATGTGCATTAAAATAAAATCTAAAAATGTCTGTCTGAATAAAGTCTATTGAAACAATCTGTCTGTACTCAGTCAGTGTGGCTCAGTGGTTGAGCGTCGACCTAGGAACCAGGAGGTCACAGTTTGATTCCAGGTCAGGGCACATGCCCTGGTTGCAGGCTCAATCCCCAGTGTGGGAATCAATGACTCCCTCATCATCAGTGATGTTTCTATTTCCCTATCCCTCTCCATTCCTCTCTGAAATCAATAAAACATATTTAAAAAATAAAACAATCTGAGTAGCAAGACTTTAGTGTTACTACCTGGTTTTGGCCATGGAGTTCCACTCCCTTACACTCTCAGCTGAAGCCTGTGAGAGTCCAGACTTCAGAAGTCAACTTGGCAAAATTCTTTAAGATGAAAAATATTCATACCATTTGACTAAGCACTTTCATGTCCATAACTTTCAAAAATAAATACCCCATTTATCAATGTGCTGATGTGAAATCATTGGACTTTTTCTCAAAATACAATGCCTGTACATTTTATCAGTTTAAAGAAAAGGGGATTCTTACGGACTATTTTTTACAAAAGATTTTTTAAACACAAAAGGTGATCAGTGATGACTTTGAAAAATCTTCGGAAAATTTTCAAGTTAGAAAATAATTTTTAAAAGAACAAGAGAGAAATTTCAAATACTTTTTGTCCCAAAGCCCCTCCCTTATAGATGATATCACATCGAAGTGAGTAGGGCTTCCCATCCATGCAGGGACACCAGGAAGGAGAGCAGTGGAGTCTCTCCACTCGGATGCCCTCCTCTCCAGCTTCCCGAGTGCCTACACTCGGATGGCACAGATAGAGCTCAGAAAAGAATTAATCACGGACTCTTTACTTCAATTTAAATGGTCCTTATATGAAAAGGAAGGGACGCATTTTTAACAAAGGAATGGCTTCTTGCTTTACACAGGGAAATTAATTTTGTTCTGACTAATCCTCCATGCTTTCTCTCAACAGTAACTTGTCTTCACAGAGGTCTCACTCAATAAGGAACCAATCACGACTTCTTTTCTTTGCTCTTGGAGGCCTAATCTCCACTCTGGCCCTAATCTCTCTGGCCCATTACTGTTGCCATGGCTACAACTTCTGTTGTCATGGAGAAGAGGAGGCGAATTTGTCACACTCTAACATAGTCTTTTTTTTTTTTAAAGAACCTCTTTAAAAAAAAATTATCATAGCAAAATCCAGGAATAAGAGGTGATTTCTGAAGATAATATAAATGGGAAGAATAGATAGTTTTGAAACAAAAAAACTAAGAATAACATTTTTATGATGTCATTGCAATAGCCTTGGTAATAATTATATTATTGGGTTAATTTTTCCATGAAGCTACATTTTGTCTAGATACCAGAGACTTTTGTTCTGTCAAATTTTTACTATTGTTATATGAGTATTATTTTATATCTGTGCTATTAACAGTATCTGACCTCCACTTCTATGAGGCATATGAAAGATGATAAAATGTATTCACAAAATCACAAAAATATTTAATTTGCATTAAATATCAAACAACCAATAGGCTTTTTCCACTGTCACTCCCCATGTTGTTAACTGAAGTACTATCAGTGTAGCCACCAGCTCAGCTAGATGCTTTCTTCCGTGTATCTCCTTATTATCTTGAAGATTTAATAAAAATAAAATAACATTAGTGACGTGACAGGAACATTTAATTGTCCTAAGAGCAAACATTTATTTATTTGCCTTTGGCGTTTTTTTCTTGTTGGTGCTCTCTTGCATTAATGGTCTAATGGAGAAGTAGATAAAATTTAAATTTTGGTTAAAGTTTTTATAGTTAAGAAATTAATTTTACAACCTTACCAAAAAGAAGTGTGGCTGTTTATATTTGAAAATAACAAAATAACATTTTTATAAAGCTTCACTTATTTTCAAATTCAGAGAATCAGGGCCTTTGAGCTAGTGTATTAAGAACCGTATAAAATGAAGACAATTTAAAATTTGTGTTTTTAAAAAAAGTGATTTGAAACAATATTTCATTTTAAATGAATATGAATGAGATGTTAATAAACTACAAT